TACAAGTAGTCCCTCCATCTATAGTGCCTTGCACCGCCACACTATAGAGTGGGGTGCCAGTAGCCAGACCATCCACAGGGCCTTGCACCACAACCCCATCGACTGGGTCTCCGGAGATTCTTCGCACCCTCTTCTGCCGGATACTGAGGGCCATTGTTTTCTCCGTCATCATCATAAGCATTTATTATTTGGCTAGTTTTTACACAGGACGCCCTTCCTTACGCAACCACAGTTATAAGCGGTGGGCCTAGCCTTTGATGATCCAACATCACTCACAAGGCAGTGAGGGTCAGTTTAATGTCATAACCAACTATTCAACCAATCAAATCTAAATAGCGATTTATTTCAATTTTCAATCCACATTATACCTGCTTCTCAGAATCGCAATCTGTAGTAAAGGCATCAATGGAAACATTATCAGCAGCAGCAGTTGTAGTAGCAGCAGCAGTAGCTGCTGAAGCAGTAGTAGCTGTGGTTGTCTTGGCGTTGGCGTTAGAGATGTTATCGGCTGGTGATTGCAGGCTGCTAATTAGGGCCTCACTCTTCAGACAGCCAGCTAAGCTGAGATGCTGTGCATTCAACAGAGGTCGATTAATTAATCAATTAATTAATTAATTAATTAATTAATTAACTACAAGTCGTTCTGTTGTTACTATTAATTAATTAAATGAATAAATAATTACAAGTCGTTTTGTTACAATTAACTAATAAATTTATTTAATTTATTAATAAATTAATCAATCAATCAATCAATCAATTAACTAATTAAACGAGTGGTTGACCGATTGATTGTCCATAAATTCTGAAATTAATTTACATTGTAAACAAAATTGAAAATAAACAACGCTACGTCATAACTTCTCGGCAACTCAACTTACGTGCACCCACTGGCTGGCCGCCTCCTTATCCTTCACGTAGAAGCACAGGCTACTCATCTCGCTATTGCCACCTCCCGTCCCCAGAGTCGATGACGTCAGAGATGACGTAGACGAAGGCAAATTGTCGCCGTAGTTGTTCAGTCTGTTGTTGCGCTTGTTGTTGTTGTTG